TTGCAAGTTTGTCCAACTAATCTAAAATAAAGGTGTTGCGGTCAATCATTTAACTTAGAATATAACCACAAATTCCAGGTTCAATGAGAAAAAAATTTAAAAAATGAAACCAAAATCCCACCCCTCTTTTTTCCCCAGTCCCACCCCCAGCCCCTGCCCTCCTCCCAACAAAAGAAAAATATGTCTGACATCTTTGGCAAATTGGCACTGCTGTAATTACATTCAAATATTATTACACACAAAAGCAACACACATCACTAAGGAAAAAAAAAACACCAACATTTCAAGTCAATTATTTTCTACTAGAAAAAAAGAATACAAAACATACACATTTTTAAGAAGCATTTTTTTTTCAATCTGTTGGAGACATCATCTCCCACTTTCAAAGGCAATTCAATTGTGGTATTTTTTTGTTTGTTTTTTGTGGGTTTTTTGTTCTTTTTTTGTACTTTTTTTTTTTTTTTTTAACAAGTAAGCATCTATGCAGGCATCACAAACTTTGGCGGTAACAGTAGATATGTATTTTTTTTGATGCTGGAAGGTCAGTCCCTTAGACAGTCAACTGTCTCAAAGAATGAAAAGCAAAAATCCATGTGTCTGCCTGACAATGAGTTCCATTTGCAATGTAATCTGCATTTCTACAAATACTCAATGTCCAAGGCCACTAGAGACTGAAAAACCAGGGCAGCATCTTCCAGCAAGAGTCAGGGCAGAACCCGAGTCAGATCTCCACCCTCGGCCCAAACTTGGAGGCTCAAAGGCTGGGCGCAAGAAATGGTGTCTCACTGCCCCCATCCCCACACTGTGCTGGCAGCTTGGATCCAGGGCACGGGTCTGCCTCTTCCTGAGCCTCAGGACAGGCTACTGCCAGGTTTGCTCGCCTCCTCTGACCAAAGGCAAGAAGAGCAGGCAGGAACTGGCATGAGAAGACTCAGTGCTTCCTCTGAGTTTCAAGTACGTCTGAGGTGTCGGGGTGAGAGTGTGTGTGCATGTGTGTGTACACTCACATGGGCACGTATGAAGGGGAAGGCCAGATTTGGAGGCTCTGAGCTTTGCAGGGTGTTGAAAATAGACTCAGGACTTATTTATTTTCTTTTAGCTTTATAGCAATTAATTGGCTATTGATTGGTTGGAATGTTCAACTCTCCATTTCCTCAAATACAATAAAATAGTTTCATTAAAATGTATTCATGCTTGAAAATAAGGGAGCCATTAAATGGTTTCCTTTCTGTTCCACTCCAAGGGAAATGCACTGTTTGTAAATCAACAACCCATCATCCAAAATCACTTGTTCTTTACGGTGCTTTTGGAGAAGATGGGGGATGTGGCCACGAGCGTGGCGACCGTGGGGATAAGAGCAGCGCTGGGGCTGCAGTGGGTGGGCCCAGGCTGGGACGAGTGAGGCTGTAGGGCCTCCTCCAGCCAGTCCTGAGTCTGGGAGGAGGGTCCCCAACTCCCAAGGAGCCCCTCCCTGCCATGCTCAGCGTTGCCAAAGCTGAGGGGCAGAATTCCTGCCCTTTCCCTCTGGCCCAGAGGCCAAATATACCACCTGAGACCAACTCCCTTTTAGAATTCATCAAGATTCCCTCAATAAATGGATAAGCAGCTGCATTTTCTCCTCATGTGGCCAGGAGTCTTAAGATGTGGGAAGAACAGACTTACTGAATGGTAGTTCTGTTTACCCTTGGAGGTGAGCTAACAGAACCCCTGGGAACATGTGGATTGAAACTCTAGAATGGTAGGGATGTCACCCCGAGGTCCCCTTTGATTGGGGGGGGTGGAGTCCAGGAACGGGACCCCGTGTTGAGAAATTACAGCGAATGAAAGATCAGCTGGTGCCTGCCTGCTCCCGGCAAGAAGCGCCCTGTCAGAGAGGCTGCAGCCCCCTCGTCAGGAGAGCGGGCTGGCAGGGGACTTGCTCCCGGTCGGCCCCCTGGGACCTGGCCGCCACTTTGGAGGCACAGCCTTGCTGACAGTGGGGAAGGCGGATCAACACCGCAGCCCCACCATGAATATGCAAGAGGGAATCCTGAGTTTCGGGGACAACAAGGGACAAGGGGCCGAAGGGGCTGCTGGGAGGTGGGGCAGAACGCAGGCTAGGAGTCATGGCCTGACTGTCCAACTTTTCAGTAATGTATTTTGTTACCTTTTATGAAATGCGCTTGCCTTGGACCTCTCCGAGGCCCAAAGAACTAAAGGAATACATTCTCTAGCAGTACCAGTGTGCGTGCCTGGAAACCATCAGTAGTGGGCTCCTGGGCTGGTGAGGCCAAGGCCGCAGGGCCGCCTCTTAGCAGGAACGTCAGGGAGCTGGTCTCTCCTGCAGGGCTGTGGATCCACCCACGCTAGCCTGGCCCTGGCCAGTCCAGGGGCCTGGATTCTTCTTTACCCTTGTGGCAGCTGTGTCTCAGACCTAGCTCGTTTCCAGGTATTTGTCAGGAGTGCTTGGTTTGTTTTCAACGTTTGCTCTTCACGGCTTGGAGCTAAATTCTAACTGAAGTATCACCCAGAAGAGGGTGGCTGGAGCCAGAGGCTACCACGGCAGGGCATTAGCTCAGGGATGTGACTTCTCGTAAAGAGATTTCATCCTCAGCTCCCCTGTGGCCACATCTGGGGTGCTCCCCTGGACCTGTGAAAGACCCAGGCAGCACTGACCTCCCCTCAAAGCCAACAGTCCCCTATCCCGACCACATCCCGTGGTCTACTCCTCCCGCCTGCAAAGCCCACACAGCCTTCGAGAGCCGGGAGTGTGGGAAGGACAGGGTAGGTCCTGCGGGTGCCTGTTCCTGCTACTGACTTGCTGAACCTCCTCTCTGAGCTCCCATCTCCCTCGATGTCCTTCATCTGCAATGAAGGACAAGGAGGTGAAGAAGAAGGGAGGCACTGATTAAAGACTGGGGGGGTCACAAGCTGGTGACCCATGGGTCAAACTTCACCCAGACTTTTTTTTGGCTGACAGAGCATTTTAAAGTTCTCACACTTGAATGCCATTGGGTTGGGCAAGCACCCACCAGCTAGGATGCCTCTGCCCTGGAGAAGTGGCATGGTCACCCCACCTGCCCGGCCCAGGAAGCAGCTGCTCCAGGGCCCTTGAGATGGTGACAGTTGCTTCCCAAGGCTGCGGGCACCCCTAATGGTCCAAATCTGGGGACTACTGCATATTGTCACAGCCAGGTTTGGAGTCTGTTCCATAAGAAGAAGGATGAAGAAAAGAGGAGTGTGGGGACATCTCTCCTGACACTGGCGCCCGGGGCCCTGAGAGTCAGAGCCGGGCCCACGTGCAGGCCCTGTCAGGCCTTGGGTGAGTTCCCATGCCCGCTGAGTCTCAGGCACAGCAGGGAAGGAATAGGGATGAAACCTCAGAAGTGTTGGCGTGGATCTGGCAAAGACCTTGCATTTTTTCAGTGTTAATGGGAATCAAGTTGGACTAGCAAAGTCACCAACACCCTCCACCAAGCCAGCCTCCGAGTCACTGTTTTTTCTTTCCTCACTGCAGGTCTTGGGGTTTCTAGGAGACTGAAGGGTGTTTCTAAGCCAAACATTCCCATGACAGGAGCATGAATCTGAAGAGAGAATGAAGCTGGGAAATCTGAGCATTCTCTTCACCTCTGTCTTGCCATGTAAGCCTCTCACTTTTCCCATCTATAAAATTGTGATCTTTGCCCCAAGGGGTGGTCAAGGATTGCAAAGCACCATACAAACATCAGTTATGAAAGGGCGAACCCTAACTAAGGCGCCTTGGGAAAGGGATGTGGATTTGATATGCATCAGATTTTTCTAGGTTGCAGATAGAGTGATGATATGAAAATTTTTTGTAAAATCTACAATGTCCTTTTCAAAAAGGGCTGGAACACAGCGCCGAAGGCCCACGGAGCAACGCCCCCGGCCTCCTGCCACGATGCTGGTGAAAGCCCTGGCCTTGTGTTTTCCATTCAGAATTCTCTGGCACCTACTCAACGGCTTGTGTCCTCCTGAACCTTCCACTCCAAAAGCTCCTAGGCAGCTCTGCAGGCAGCATGGGAGCTCCGTGGGCGAGATCAGTCCATGTTGGGGACATACATGTGCTTGCATGTACGCCTGTGCTTCTGCCTGGCAGCCCAGGAACCAAGTGCTTGTCTAATCAACACAAATGCAATCTGAGGACTCCAGAGGCGCGAGACGGGAAAGGCATGGAGGGAGCTCATCACAGGTCAGGAGGAGGAGCAGGATGGGGAGAGGGGTACACTTGGGGCCAGGTGGGCTTTGGTGAGAAAGGATAGTGTGCGCTTAGGTAGCCAGTTCAGGGAAACGTGACCTCCTCCCAACAGCCTGAGTCCACAGGAGCGTCAGGATCCAAGGTGTGGGTGCCAGAGGCCAAGAGGCCTGTGCTGCAGACCCCAGACTCCACCACTTTCTCTGGAAGGGAGGGAAGGTGGGAGGGTCCCGGTGACATACCTGCTCCTATCCTGCCTGGCAGATGGAGGTGCGAGCCGGTTCATCTGGGCTCCTGGAGGTGGGCACTGGCCCAAGCTGCCTCCTTTCTTTGTACAGCAGGTTTCAGGATGGGGGGGGTGTGCCCGCGGTGAGCCCACTGGGGCCACCTCTGCCCTGGGGACTGGGCTTTCTTGGCAGTTCTAACAGCCCCAGGATACACTGTCTGAGGAGGTGGCCCAGAACCGTCTCCTGCGCCCTCACCATCAACTTCCCGCCCCAGGGAAGGAGGATCACTACAAGCCAAGAGTCAGGGGGCTGAGCCCAAGCCTCATCTTCACCAGTCGCTGCCTGGGGACTCCACCTTGCCGAGCCTCGGTTTCCCCTTCTATTCTCCCACCTTATAGGGGTATTGTGGTGGCGGGGGGACATGTGGTGGTGGTCAGAGAAGGTCTGCTCTGTCTCCCTGCCTGGTCCTAGGTCTCCCCGAGCGAGGCTTCAGTTTCCCCTGAGGGGAGCTGACTTACGCCTTCCTCAAAGCTGATTTTCACCCCTCTAGGTGTTCTTTTTTTAAAAACTTGGTCCAAATATTAGCAGGACTCAGGTGCCCCAGTCTTCCTGCTCAGAAGTGGAGGGCCTGCCCTGTCATAGCCCCGGCAAACGGGCAGAGGAAGTAAGGGAGGGAGAGAGAGCTGTCGGGTCGTCCTGCAGGGGAGCCCTGCTGGGCCAAGGCAGCCGAGGCTCAGAGAGGTGAAAGGTCTTGCCTGAGCACCCACAGCAAGGCAGGCAAAGGTACAGCCAGGACAAGACCTCTTGGGCCTGATGACATCAAGCATGGCTCTCTCCACCCCAGCTCCTTGCCAGCCTGGTGACATGCAGACATCGGGCACATTGTCACAGGAGATGGCCAGGTCCACTGTCACGGCCATCATTCAGTCCAGATTTGGATGACGCCTCTCCCCGGCTGTTCTGAGTGGGCAAGAGATAGTATGCAAGGAATAGAGGCCCAAGGCAAAGAGATGGTGGCCCCTTGTACCTCCATTTCAAAACTACTCCCAGTTCACACACTAGTTCCTCACTGCCTGTCCCGTTCTAGGAAGCTTTCCTCTGCTCCCCAGATCCTCCCAGGTCGCTTTTTCTGACCACTCCAGCCCACAGTGAGTTCTCCCAACTCCCACTCCAGGCTACCAAGGCCCTTGGCCATGGCCTGACCATCACAGCCCCTTGTATCAGCAGGTAGGTACCCACGATGCAAAGAAGGCATCCGCCCCTACCCGAGCACCTTGGTTCCCAGCTGCATAGTAGGCTCAATGAGATGGAGAGGGGCTGCTCAGGAAGTTCTGGCTGACTGCTGAAGGTGTTTGTGGTCCTTGGTCCAGACAAAGTCCTTTCTGTTAATCACTGTCTACGTGGCAGGGACAGGCTTGCCCTGAATCCACTCTCTGGCATCTTGGAAGGTGGGAGAAGTGTCCGTGGTGGGTGTCCAATGTGATTTGAGCCTGGGCGCACCTTAGTAAACACATCCCAGTTCAGTTCAGTGGTCCAGGGGCAGGGGGTCTGGAGAGCCTCATGCTTCGCCTTGGACCATCATCTTCTGGGTCTCGTCCGGCCCTAACGTTCCAAGTCCACAATGCAATTGGTGTCTTGGATGCCATCTCACTTTAGAACAGTAGCTGAGGAATCTCCTAGACAGTTCTCTTGTGAGTCCTTTGATACAGAAAAGAGCTGCTTGCACTGCATTGGGCCCAGGGAAATGGGGGCAGGAAGCCAGGAAGGGGTCTTGGGGGGAGGGGGGTGCTTAGAGCAAAACCAACCCAATGAGACTCTTAGTCCAGATATTAAAGAAGTAGCATGAGTGGAGACTGGGGTCGGGAGGTGGGCATCCTTAGTCTTAAGGGCACCTCCAAACCCACCTTTGGGGGTACCCAGGGCAGAACAGTGGCTCTGTGCACAGGTCCAAGTCCTCCTGTGACACTTCCAGAATGCTGGATGCAAAATGGGTGGGCGGTCTGCTCAGCTGGACCCTCAGGCCCACAAAAAAAGCAAGAAGGTATTTACATGGTGCTGTTGAAGCAACGAAAGCAAACTTCCCCTTCCAGGCCTGGGGCAGGAAGAAGGGTGGATGGTCAGATAGCTCGGGTGTGGGGGTGTGGGGGGGTGCTGTCAGGCTGTGCTGGGGCTGTGGTTGTCTGCAGAACAGTCTGTCGGTTTGCAGTCACCACCGAGAGAAGCTCATAAGTTGACCTTAGAAATGGACAGGTGTCTAGAAGTCCAATAGCTCTATCATAGACCCTGGAGTCCCTGGCAAGAAATGCGGGAGGGAGTTTCTGGCGAGTGGGGGGTTGCTGGGGGGGATGGTCTCATTGGGCCCCTCTGGCTGTGTTTGGAGGGGGCTGGGAGGCTATGGCCTTCAGTGATATGTGTCAAAAATGCTTGGCGCCTGCCTGGCTCTGGGGGTCAGTGGCGGTCGTAGGCAGTGGCAGCTGTGGGCGGGGCGGCTCCTCTGGCAGCAGCAGCGCTGTAATAGTACGGGGAGCCTGAAAGAGACAGGAGAGGCCGCAGAGTTGGAGGGAGACCTCGTACCCCGAGCTCTGTACTCGGGGTCCCTTTCCACCAGCGTCCGCTACCTCTGTCCCTTCCTCTCGCTCTCCCAGTCCAGACCACTGTCCTCTCTCACCAACATCGTGGTCTCTCCTCAGGCCACTGCCTGCCTATAGGTTTCAGGGCCTCCTCGCCAGCTAGAGCTGGGGTGGGCAGCCTGGGCCGATCCCCGCCCCGATTCGGTAACCCATGCTTTACTGGGACCCTGCCTTGGCCTGCTGCTTCTGCGTTGTCTGTGGTGCCCTCAGGCTGCTGCTGCGGAGCTGAGTATGACAACAGAGCCCACATGGCCTGCGAATGCTGACATATTCACTCGCAGGTCCTTTACAGGTAAAGTGTGCTTTACAGGAAAAGATTTCTGGCCAGGAACATGAAAAGTCATCACTTCTTAGTTTGGCCCGTGGAAGCTTGGTGACCTAGCCCTGCCAACCTCTGAACTTCCCTCCACACCACCACCCTCCTGCTCACACTCAGGCACCCCGCTCCTGCAGAATCCAATTCCACAACCCTCTCAAACACACCAGAGTGCTGGTGGCCGCTACCGCGGGGGGAGCACTTGCCTCCCACCCTGCCACGTCCTTTACACATGTTGTCTCATTTAACCCACGGGGCAGGTGGCGTTAGCCCATTTCATCATACTCCCGTGTCTCTGAGCCTTTGCCATGCTCTGCCTGCTGCCTGGAACAGCTTGGCTGCACCTCACACCCGCTTCCCTGTCTGCTGCATAGCGCTGCCTCCTTCAAGTCCCCGAGTCCCTGTCTCCTCCTCTGGGACACCCCCTTTCCTGAGCCTATGCCCTGCTGCAGGCTGGACCACATCCTCTGATCACTTCCTTCTCTCTGTCTCCCCTCTTCCCCTGGATGGAGAGTCCCACAAAGGGGCTGGGATCTGCTGTGCTCCGTGTTCACTCTCAGCCCCCAGCCTGGAGCCCAGCACGTGCTGCGTGCTCATCTGGGTTGGCTGAGAAAATGAGCAATAGCGCTGAGTGAACCAGCAATAGTAAAGACTCTGCCCATTCATTCGTTTATTTTTCCGACCCCACTGGCTGCGGTGCTGGGCAATAGTGAACAAACGCAGGCCAATGCTCAGAATCCAGAGGGGATCAGAGCTCTGAGAACAGAGCTCTGGGAATGCAAGATTATCCTGGCAGAGTCAGGCTCTTCCTAGAGGAAGCAGGTTGGGTCGAGCTTAGGGGATGTGGAGGTTTGGGTATGTGAATACATGGGAGGAGGGAAGGGTATGGCCCTGCTTCCTGTGACCTCCGGACAGAGCCTGCGTGGGGCCTCCTGTTTCGACGCTGGGTTCTTCCTACTGTCTCTGGGCTGCTATCTTTGATGACATGCTTTGGATGAGGCCTCCAGGAGCCCTGCTCTGTGCTCAAACTTCCCCCCAGGGACGAAAGCATCTGAGGATTCTCAGGGGGACAAGCAGATTCTCAGAGCCGTGGGAGTTAGAGACACTGGGCCATCCCCTCCTTTTATGGGTGAGGGTGGGGGTGGTGGAACTGAGGCTCAACAAACCAAAGTCATGTGCCCAAAGCCACAGAGCCTGGCCTGGAATTCTGGATGTCAGTCCTGGATCAGGACTCTTTGGGCCATGATGCAGTTCACCGCCTATACAGTCATGTTGGAGAGCTGTGTTTATCCAAGTGGCTAGCAGCTGGGGTCCTGCCAGCCACTGCAGACCATGTGTCTGCTGGGGTAGGAACAGTAAGCTTCTTAATTCCCCAGGGGAGGTGGCTCATTCTGAAATCTCACCCAAATCTAAACCAGTCCTGGCAACTCTCCCAGATTCCATGACTGGGCACCAAGGCCTGGAGATTGCCATTCAGGCTCTAACATTCCTGGCTGAGTGACCCTGGACAAGTGGCTTCACTCCTTGAGCCTCAGTTTTCTCCTTTGTAAAAGGAGGTCACAGGGGGCGCTGTATGAGGGCACCCACGAGGTAAAGATGTGAAGGTGCTTTGGAAATTGGCACTTTTCTAAGCCCTGTATATCCTTTAACTCTTGTAATCTCCACAACAGTTCTATCAGGTAGGCACTAGTATTGCCCCATTTAGCAGACAAGGAAACTGAGGCACGGAGAGAATAAGGAGTTTGCCCACGGTCACCCTGCTAGTATGGAATCAAGAGGACAGGACTGACCTTTGCTACCAGCCCTGCAAACCCGGCCCTAATTGGTGGACATAATTCTCCCTCCTGGCCCCCAGAAGGGCTGCATGGCTCAGGCAGTAGTGATGGTGGGGGAACAGTCAGTGCTGGAAGGCACGGGCACCAGCGCCAGGCTGGAATACTCCCAGAGATGGGTTTTTCTGCTGCCTCCTGCCACCGCCCTGGTTGGACTCTTGCCTCGGGTGTCTGTCAGCCTTCTCTGCTCTCTCTTCTGTGCAGTGGGGCCAGCCACCCCCGGAGCATCTGCAATGCCAGCCCTGCACCCTCCCTTCAGGGCCCAGGTGAGAGGCGGGTGTGTGTGTGTGAGGTAAAGGCCAGCCCCACAAGCCCAGGCCTGGCACAGAATCAGGGAAGTCACAGGGGCTGCCCACACAAATGAGGGACAGGACATCCTGGCTCGGCCCTCCGAGTTTCCCTGGAGCAGCTCTCACCCTGGGCTCTGACTCCCTCCCCTCTCAGAGCCTAATCTCTTGGCCAGGCCGTCCAGCGGCCCCAGTGTGAGGGCCCCATGGCAAAATCAAAGAACGCCTACATGTACCGTGAGAAATGAAAACATCACCTCACAAAGCGCTCTGTCTTCCTGGTGCCCGTTAGACCTCTGTCTAGAATAAACGTGTCCTTTCTTCTGTCATTTTCGTCTCTAATTCACATCATCATCAATTTACTTCTTGACACAGTCATTCTGGGCTCCCCCTCGCTCTCTAATCCCCTTACAGCGGCCACAGGCGCTCCGGTTCTAATCCTAATTGACCGCAGCGGCCGTTCTTCCTGCCGCTAGCCCGCCACCCCGCCTGCCTGGGGCCCCAGCGGGATGCCGGATCCCGGCCTTCCTGGCTGGGCCTGGCGCGGGGAGCTCCCAGGAAGGAGCGAGAAGAGAGCCTCAACAGGTGGCATCACCTGTCCTCACTTTGGCGGTGTGTCCCTGAACAAGGCTCCCTTCCGCCAGACCGGCTGAGGTGTGGGCAGGGTGTGTGAGGCTCTTCCTGTTTCCACAGCTCCCCCTGTGGCGCAGAAAAGCCTCGGAGCAGCGTCCCCCTGACGCCCTCCCTAAGCAGCAGAAATGGCAGGTCTGCTTCTCTAGCTCGGAGGGTTTCCTCCAGCTGAAGCCCTGAAGACCCTGGGGGAAGGGCAGGCTGGTGGAGGGGAGCAAGCCTGGAACTCACCACTTAGGGCAGAGCAACACATGGCAGGGTTTCCCAGGTGGCCCTAGTGGTAAAGAAGCTGCCAGCCAGTGCAGGAGCTGTAAGGGGCACGGGTTTGATCCCTGGGTCGGGAAGATCCCCTGGAGGAGGACATGGCAACCCACTCCAGTATTCTTGCCGGGAGCATCCCATGGACAAAAGAGCCTGGCAGGCTATAGTCCAGGGGCTGCAAAGAGTCGGAGAGCACGCATGCATGGCAGAACAAACTTGGCGTCTCCCTCGTCTTCAGGAAAGTGAGCTCACTGCATTCGGGGTCTCGGGAGAGCGTCATGACCAGCTCGCGCTTGAATGACGCTGCTGGTGGCCGTTATCTTCCTTTTACACCTGAGGCAACCGAGGCCCCGCTTGGTGATGAGCTGACTAAGACTGCCCGGGCTACAGACCTGGGCGGCACAAGGGCCACTTCTCATGCTGGTGACAGCCCAACACTGTTCACGCGCTTCTTGTGTTTCCAGAATTTTCTGGCGTGAGCCCCTGCTGGGAGTGGGTGCAGAGGCGCCCCGCTCTGGACAAAGCTCCCAAACACCCTGGCTGAAGCAGCAACACAAAGCAGGCTGCCCGTCGGCGCCAACAGCAGGGGTGTTTATGCCGGAGCAGCCCGAGCACGTTCCTGGCTGGAGTCCCACCCCTGTCCCTCTGATCTTCCTAGAGATTCGGGGAGCCCCCACTATTCCATAATAAATTCACTTTCTGCTTAAACTAGTGAGGGTGGAGTCTGTCGTTTGCAACTAAAAGCCTGACAGATAAAGTAACCCGGCTTTCAGAAACAGACCAGCACTGTTCTCCTGGCGTACAAGGACTGAGTTATTTGGGACTCTCGGGCTTGTTCCTATGGAGAGATAAGCCTTTTTTTCTGGTTGTAGTTCTGTTCAGATTGAATTGGTCAGGAAGAGTCAAAGTACCACATCACACACTGACTATTAATACAGGCTCTAGAATCAGGGTGACCTGAGTTTGAGTCCTCATTCTGCTACCTGCATGCTGTGTGACCTCAAGTAAGTTAATTAACCTTTCTGAGCCTCACTCTCTTCATTGGTAAAGATAATCCTATGTGCTGTCTAGGGGATAGAATACTTGATAGGATAAAATGAGGGTAAGATAAAAACCCACATGAAGGGTTTTGCCCAGTACCTGAACATTAGCAAGTGCTCACTTGGATGAACAGAGTTTTGATTCTTTTTCTGTTCTCCACAATGGTTCTGGCACCCCTCAAGGCCCTGAGCACATCCTAGCACAGGCTTTCTCATCGCAGCACACCTGCCTAAGGCTCTCTCCCCTCCAGGCTGTGAGCTCTTTAGGACAGAGTCCACAACATTTCCATACCAGACACACAGCCCACACGTAGAATTGTGCATGTCAACTGGATCTCACTCTATCTTGAGCAGCAAAGGCCTCGGATGCAGTCTAGCCCCACCCCTTTGACATCCCCTTGGGCTCCTAGCTGCCCACACAATCAGGTGCAGACGTCTCAGTCTGGCATTCAGGGTCCCCCACCTCCTACTCTATGCCATGGCTACGCTTGCCTGAGCAGCTCCTTTCTCACTTCTCTCATTCTGGAACTTGCAGGCAAATGAGCCTATTGGACACCTCAAAAAATTAGAAAAAGGCAGCCATACCCCTGTGCTGGGGCTCAGGGCTCTGGGCCGCGCATGGGCTTGCTTTCAGCCCCCACCTGTCCCCGTGGGCAGTGCACGGCCATACGTGGAGACCCTAGGTCAACATGGCCTCACTGGTGTCATGTCCCCACACAAGGAATTCCTCCTACGGTCTGACCCAGGCCTCCTTTGTGCCACGCCCCCTGTGGGTCTGTCAGAAGCGCTGGGACCAGAGCCCTGTACGAGGTCGATTTGCAGGGAACAGCTCCCAAGCTCAGGCTCCAGACCCACCCCCGACCCTATCCCTGCTGAAAGGCTGTTTCAGGGTCAGCATTTGCCTCCTGAGACTAAGTGGGCCAACTCAGAACCCAGACCTCTCAGGAGGGCTTGTTTAAGGAAAAGCATAAGGTAAGCAGAGACCTGGTTCAATACTTAGAAGTAATTTTTACCAAAGCCAAAAAATAAGTCTAAGCCATCAGTCCACAGATTCAGCCCCTGCAGGAAGTCATAGAAGGTAAGAGCCCGGTCTTCTATATAATGAAATCTGCAGGCACAGGTCTGGAGCACTAGCTGGCATTGTTCCTTATTTCACCTGACGTTTTGCATGATACATTTTCAAAATGCTTTGGGCAGTCCAATGCTCAAACGCATGGAAGAACGGCAGCCGGGAAGGGACAGCGTCTGCGTCATTGTCTGTCCTAGTCACCAAAGCACGCTGGGGAAGGGGCCAAGGCTGTGACTTCATGGCCTCCTCTGCAGACCCATGCCTGGCAACTTAAGTTTGAAGACATCAGGTTCTTGCCTTTTTGACGAAGTCTACGATTCTCAGTGCTTAAATAATTCAGAGGATCCAGGGAATTAACAGGTTCGTACTTAAGTAAGCCTTGCTAAGCTGTGCAGACAAACCTGGATGGTCTCAGAGGCCCTTCCGCATCTGACCTTAGTGGAAATTACTCAGCTGATTGCTGGGGAGGGATCCATGTTGCTGCCTGGAGGCTGATGGGCTAACTCCACCCCCAGGGTGATTGACATCTGTGAGGGGGACCCTTGCCTCATGCTCCAAAACCTTCAGCTCCAGCTTGGACTCACCAGCTGGTTTCATGTCAGTTCACTGCAGCAAAATAACGGGCTCCCCTTGGCCTTCTAAGACAGCCCTGTGGGGTGGCTCAAATATCTTTGGTGATGTACACAGATTATGCTGGCCCCGGCCATGGACCATCTGCAGTCTAAGGCCTGGGCAGAGGCTGGGCACCAACTCAGCTCGGCCTGGCACAACCTGGCACACCTTCAGTCACAGGGCAACCAGTTTCCTCTGGTATCCACAGCAGACATCACTAATCAATATCCGAGCCTCAGAGTCCTTATCAAGACAGACAGCCACTCCCAGTCAACCCAAATCGGCCCCTGGCTGCCCTTGCTTAGAGATTTATCACCAACCTAGGCAATGATCCTTAGGAAATCTGTTACTCTCAGGCAGGCACTGTTCCTGCTTTTCTCTTCCTCTCTCAATGGCCTTTTTAAATCTGTTCCCCTTCTGTGCCATCTCCCGTGGCCCACTAAGACGCCTGGGGAAGTGCTGACGGCACAAGCAAGCCTGCGGGGGCACCTGCTGTCCTGGAGCTCCAGCACAAACCCCATGCTGCTAGTCCCTGGGAGCTACCCGCCCCCTCAGTGACCAGGCCTGATGATGTGGCGGGACCCTGGTCCAGTGAGGCCCCGATGGGCAGCCGATGGCCCAGGGGCCCCGCAGGGCCTCTGCCAGTACTCACCGAGCAGCCCCGGGTTGGGGAACCTCCAGGAGTCGTTGTACGAGGGATACTGAGGGTGGCTGTAGGGGCTCCCGGAAAACTCACTCCCTGCATGTGGTGGGTGGGAGAGAAATAGGAACCGAATGTCAAGTCAGGTTCGGAAAATGCCACTGGCACTTGTGTCCCTCACAAACGGCGGGTACTTTGTGTAACTAATAAAGGCAAGTCCGGTTTGCCCCCATATCAAGAGGACAGCTGTCATTGGCATTGTCTGTATTGCCCCTTAGAACTTTATTCATCGGAGTGAATGCCAGGTGATGCTAGTGGTAAAGAATCCACCTCCCAATGCAGGAGAGGCAAGAGCCACAGGTTCGATCCCTGGGTCAGGAAGATCCTCTGGAGGAGGGCATGGCAACCCACTCCAGTATTCTTGCCTGGAGAATCCCATGAACAGAGGTGCCTGGCGGGCTATAGTCCGTGGATTGCAAAGAGTCGGACACGACTGAAGTGGATTAGCACCCATGCACATATTTCTCCTTAGAACATTTTCTTATTCTGGGAGTGAATACCAGTCTCTCACACATGTACCACTGAATTACCACATGCCAGGTATTCCCTAGGGTAGTTGGCCCATTTTGCACATGAGAAAACTGACGCCCAGGGTCTCTCACAATACAGCCTGGAATCACCCAACCCAAGCTCAAAGGCCCACACTGTTTGTTTCTCAGACCTCAGCCCTGACTGAGGTCACTCCAGGACCACAGTGTGGATGCAGTGCCACTTCCCATGTGTTTCCTGAGTGGCTCTGGACTGGAAGGCCAAAGATGACCCCAACTCTGGTCTAGCCCTCCGGGCTGTGAATCCGGAGGTTGCTGCTCCCCAGGCCTCTCTCCAACAAGGAAGATGAGACAAATTCAGACCCTCTGCTAGGAGGAGGCGGAGGGCACTTTGTTGACAGGAAGGGACTAGCCAAAGGGCTGGGGGAGCACAGAAGAGCGCGGGGTTGGGGCCTCTGGGCCTGGGGGGAGGAGCAGGAGCTGCAGGCCGAGCCGGGTGGGACAGCACTGGGTGTGGTGGCCAGAGTGGAGCCTGAGGACCGTTCACTCCCGCCCAGCGGCTCGCGGAGCCATGATGCTTGCCTTTGGCACTTCCCTCCCTTCCAGCCGCAGGAGGGCCTCTAGACCACTGGGCAGTCACAGGAGAGGAGCCCAGAATCCCCGTGGCTCTGTAACAGGACAGGCGCTGCCTGTCGGCTCCCTGCGGCTGGGGCTCCCTGCGGCTGGGGCCCCCGTGCCTGTTAGCTGGTTTTATGGGCAGCTGGCTATTGAGTGGCTTTTTAGGCCACTGGTTACAGAGCATGTGGGCCCCTCCCTGGCAGTGGTGACAAGAGTCTCCCAGCCCCATGAGACCACCCTCGGCACCGCCCATGCTCCCATGGACCCTTTTAGATGCCAAAGGGCCGAAAGGCAGGAGCCTCTAGAAGGGCCACCAGCCCCAAGTCAGGACTTGGAGCACCGCTCTTCCCTGGGAGGCCTCAGCTGACATCTTAGGGCCCCTGGGGCTCCACCAGGTACAGTGGGAACGAAACAGCAGGGCTGAGAGCCAGACGCTCCCGGCCCTCAGGCCCAGCTGGCCTCCTCCCCACTCCCACCAGCAGCTGCAGGCAGAATGTGTGCGTGCGCGCACACACACACACATGCACACGTGCGCGCACACACACATGCACACGTGTGCTCCTCCTCGGGGCTCTCTGGGGACCACTCCCAGCCTGACAGGCTGAGCCTTCCAATTCTCTGTTTTTTATGCCTCAGTGGTCAGGGTGTCAGGTTCCGGCGAACGAGGGAGAGCGTGGTGACAGTGCGGGGCCGCGAGAGCTCAGCCCCCGGCGTATCCATCAGTGCCACAGCACCTCCTCCTCCTCCTGGGGGGTCCGGTGGGGGAGCAGAGAGACCGAGTTGCCTGGAGAAGGGGGACAGCTGCACTTCCCCTGGGGCTCTGGGCACCCTCAGAGCTGCCCCATCAGAGGTGCTTCCTGACAGCACTGCGCCTGGGCCTGGGGCATGGGGCTATACTGGCTAAGGCTGTCTCGGCATCTCCATCGAGCAGCACCGGGCCCATCTGCCAGGCCCAGCTCCAAGGCCACCTCTTCCAGGAAGCCTCCTTGATCTCCAGCCCCTCAAAGTACAAGCCTTGGGCCTACCCAGCTGGAGCTACTTAGTTAACTGTGTCCTGTTTTCCATCCTGCACCCTCCCCCCAACTTTGTCCCCAAATTGGCAACAGGCCGTAAACAGTTCCGACTCCTCTAGAGGATGTGCCTAAGTCAGTGCTGCTCACCATCCTCCACCACGTCCCCACCTGCCTGACCTTCTAGAATCTCACTCCGATACCTCTTCCTCTGGGAAGCCCCCCCAATCCCCTCTGGGGGTGCACTCCATCTCCCGCTGAGCCCAACACCAGGTTTACCCTGCGACATGGGAGTGTCCGTCTCCAGGTCAGTGTGACTCCGCTCAGCACCCACATGCCACCCACCCCCCGTGTGACAGCCCGTCCACAGCAGTCAGCACCCCAGGAACCACCCATAGCTCCCCACCTCCGCCGTGACACTGCGCTCTCGTCTGCACGGCTCTCTCCCTCACCTCCTTCCAGGCTCTACTCCAAAGTCATTTCTAAACCATTTAATTTCCCATGGAAACAACTTCCACTTTCCCTGCTGAACTTTTCTCCACGGAACTGATCACAAGCTAACATATCTTACTAACTGTGCTCATCTTTCTTGTTAATCCTATGTCCTCCACAAGGAGATAAGCTCCCCGGGGCCAGGGAGGGTATGCTTGCATCTCCATGTCTAGCAGGCCCTGAAAACCATTCGTTAAATGAGTGAAGGAGTGGGAACTCCTCCATCTACCAGAGACGACTCTCAAGGCTTCCATTATTAACACCAATAGCCAGGGGTTTATTGAGTACCTGCTCTGTGCCAAGATTCAAACCAGTTTATTTGATCCATTGCCCAGGTTCCATCCACCATGCTGTCCTGCTCCCTGGTGGAAGAAATGAACCTCCAGGGACCCACCCCGCCTGGCGTGTTTAGAGCAATGGCGTGGTGGCACCCTCAGTGGGCCGCCGTTCTGTGAGATGCCCCGTGAGAGTGCGCCCTCTGGGTGAAGGGAGCTTGACCATCTCCGGGGCAAGAGGTCGACCTCAGGGCTGGTCCAGCCACATGCTGGGGCATCTGGATGAAGTGCCACACAGGCAGCTGGCAGGGCGTGGGCGGTCCTCACCCATGAGAGGTGGGGGTGGGGTGGGGGGTGGGGCAGGTCCTCAGTTGCTGAGGAAGATGCCTGTCTGGAGACCTGGCCTAGCTCAGCCGTAAGGATGGCTGGGGAGCAGCAGACCACCCAGACTCGAGCCCACATGACGCCACTGAACCCGGTGGTCCTCAGTCAGTTTGGCACAGAAGCTGAGAGCAAGGGTTCTGGAGCCAGACTGCTGCTGCTGCTGCTAAATCGCTTCAGTCGTGTCCGACTCTGTGCGACCCCACAGACGGCAGCCCACCAGGCTCCCCCGTCCCTGGGATTCTCCAGGCAAGAACACTGGAGTGGGTTGCCATGTCCTTCTCCAATGCATGAAAGTGAAAAGTGAGAGTGAAGTCGCTCAGTCGTGTCCGACTCTTAGCGACCCCATGGACTGCAGCCCACCAGGCTCCTCCGTCCATGGGATTTTCCAGGCAAGAGTACTGGAGTGGGGCGCCATTGCCTTCTCCGGGTGGAGCCAGACAGCTGGAGCCCAAATCCTGCATCTGCCTATTCCTAGCTCAACAGGTTGACCATCATCAGGATGCTCAACCTCTCTGGGCCTGCTTTCTCCTCAGTAGTCGGGACAATGAATAGGTCCCACTGCCCATGGTCACTGCAGAGACTGCATGAATGATACACAGTGCCCGGCAGGCAGTGACTGCTCGGCAGATGTCAGCCACAAGGACCATGACCTGACATCAGTTACCAAGGCTTCCTCCACATCTAGAATCTCATTTAACTTTCCTGACAGTCCTGTGAAGTTCCCAAGACGGGTGCATCTTTCTGCATTTTATATGAGCAAGTGGAGGCTCAGGAAGGTGGGGGGACTTGTCTAGGGTAGGGGGCAACTCTAAGTCCAGCCTCCTGTCTCCCAGCCCAGGACCCTCTGTCCATGCGACACCATGACACTGCCTTCCCACTCCAGGGCCTCTGTCTTCCATTTGCACAAGGGCAGGTGAGACCCAGTGATGTCCAAAGACCCTTCCTGTCTTCTGAGCCTGAATTTCACTTCTCAGGTGCCATGGTGCTCCCAGCATGGAGGGAGGCTCTGTGGGCTCCACCAGATGATGACTTCCTTTGGGACTAGGGGTTTCAATCTCCTGCTGACTGTCCCTTGCTTAAATTCACCACCATCACAGCACCCAAGGAGCATTCACCTTCTTTCCTTTAAATCTTAGGACTGCAGCTTAGAAAAGTGAGTCTGGTCCAGCCAAGAGAAGTTCCAGGAAAGCACTAGGGACGCTTTTTGTGGGGAGAGGAGCATATGAGCAGGAGAGGTAGGGGTCTGGTGTGTAGACGGAGACAGGGCATTCCGGGCACAAGCTGAGGTCTGGAGCTGGGGGGTCAGAGTGTGTCCCACTTCTGGCTCATGGCTGGGGTCCCGGAGAGGTGGCCAGATGGCCTAAGATGGACAGAGCTCTCACCATGACACTTCTCTTACGACCGAGGACACCACGGGGCTCTCACCTCCTTCTGCTACCTGATCCGTGCTTTGGGCATCTCTCAAAAATACCAGCCCGTTTAAAATGGGCAACCTGTTCTTGATGCATGAACAGAGAAGCTCCTATGACTCCCAGCGGGGGTGCCGGCCCCCGCCCAGTAGCTGTCACCGGCGGGCAGCAAGACCTCCATCTGAGGAATCACAGCACGCAGGCCCTCCTCGGGGATGGCTCCTGGGCTGTCTGCCGGTGCGCCCCCAGAAGCCCCCAAGAACTCTCAACAATGAAACACGTGTCATCATCTCCTCCATCTCCAGCACCCCCAGGAGCGAGCAGTCCTGAGGAGAAAGCAAGACTGGACCTTCTGAGACAAGG